TTTACAATCCTAATACTGAAATGAAAACAAGGTAAAAAAAAATACTAACAAAAAATGTTGACTCAAATAAAGAGCGAGCTAAACCCAAAGGGAAAATAAACAAACAAAAAGATATTTATTAAATCCTACTCCCTTATCAAAAGCAAAAATAGGAAGAATTCAGAATATAATTATATATCATTGCCTCCAGCTTTGGTGTATTACTTTTCAAATACTAATACTCTCACATGCATTCAGTAAATGTCAGAGTTCAACACACATTCTGCTGTAAAAAATTCTTTATTTTTCCTTCCAGCTCATGTTCAGGGTCTCAGGTGTCCCAGAGGTGGACCATATACAGCTCCCTGGACAGGTTGTGAATGCATCACTGAATGTGATGATAATTTTAAGGTGGGAAAAAATATCTGACAAAGAAAACAGGCAATCTGGTAAAGTGAAAATGCAGAATCAGGGTCTGGTTTGGAGCTGGCGTAACTTACAGGTGTACCTGGTTTCTGATTACAAAGCCGTAAAAAACAAAGGGCAAATACTTCATTACTGTACTTAAGTAGAAACTTTGGTTATTTGTACTTTACTTGAGTAATTGTTTTTCAGATGTCCTTTTACTTTACTTATATTTTCACGCAATTATACTTTCTACTCCTTACATTTTATTCTTAAAGTAAGAAATAGAATTTAATTTTGTTTTCATTTAATTGCATTTTGGCTTATTTTTATTCTGGTTTGCTAGTTAAAAAATAAAAAATCCTATAAAGTGAATTAAACTGTGATTGAATGAGAAGTATTTACCTTTCTGACACCTTACTTGTTTGTATGCAATCCATTGTTATCACATCATTTCACCCCAGCAGGACATACTATAGAAGAGGTAGCCTAATATGGAAATGATTGTGGCAGAGATATATTATATATACAGCTGATACAGGTAGCCTAGTGTATCCCAAAAATTGTATTAACATTTTATTATATATTTTTAATATGTTATTATTGCATTTAGAAAAATCTTTATTCTGGAGAGGTGACCTCCAAATTATGCATTGTAACAGCTCACTTTACACTTTGGGCCTGGATACAGGCTGTTAGGTCACTGTACGACCAGTGCCAGAGCTTGGTCCGAATTGCCGGTAGTAAGTCGGACTCTTTTCTGGTGAGAGTTGGACTCAGCCAAGGTTGCCCTTTGTCACCGATTCTGTTCATAACTTTTATGGACAGAATTTCTAGACGCAGCCAAGGTGTTGAGGGGATCCTTTTTGGTGACCTTAGGATCACATCTCTACTTTTTGTGGATGATGTTGTCCTGTTGGCTTCATCAGATCCTGATCTCCAGCTCTCGCTGGAGCGGTTCGCGGCCGAGTGCGAAGCGGCCGGGATGAGGATCAGTGTCTCCAAATCTGAGACCATGGTCTTGAGCTGGAAACAGGTAGCGTGCCGACTCTGAGTCGGGGAGGAGGTCCTGAACCAAGTGGAGGAGTTTAAGTATCTCGGGGTCTTGTTCACGAATGAGGGAAGAATGGAGCGGGAGATCGACAGGTTGATTGGTGCTGCATCTGCAGTGATGCGGGCGCTGTATCGGTCTGTCGTAGTGAAGCGGGAGCTGAGCCAGAAGGTGAAGCTCTCAGTTTATCAGTCGGTCTACGTTCCTACCCTCATCTATGGTCACAAATTTGGGTAGTGACTGAAAGAACGAGATCACAGATACAAGTGGCTGAAAAGAGTTTCCTTGGCAGGTGTCTGGGCTCTCCCTTAGAGATAGGGTGAGAAGCTCTGTCATCTGGGAGGGACTCAGAGTAGAGCCGCTGCTCCTCCACGTCAAGAGGAGCCAGTTGAGGTGGTTCATCTGGTTAGGATGTCTCCTGGACGCCTCCCTGGTGAGATGTTCCGGGCATGTCCCACTGAGAGGAGGCCCAGAGGAAGACCCAGGACACGCTGGAGGGACTATGTTTCTCGGCTGGCCTGGGAACGCCTTGTGATTCCCCCGGAGGATCTGGCCCAAGTGGCTGGGGAGAGGGAAGTCTGGGTCTCTCTGATTAGACTGCTGCCACCGCGACCCGACCCCGGATTAGCAGCAGAAAACGGACGGACGGACAGCTCACTTTTACTCAATACTTTTATTTTTGATACTTAAGTTCAGTAAATATCAGATACTTTAAGGTTACATCTTTTATGAATGATTTCCAGTTTCAAAATAGCAAAATGGTGATAGCCCAAATGTTGTGGTTTCTAAACTGTAGTCTGCAATTGCTTTTGTACTTGGATTATTCCCTGTATGGTCTGTTATGACTTCACTGTTATTTTCATCGTGGTTAATCTTCAGTACAAAGCCCTGTGTGAATAACTAACAACTCTTCTTCCTGTTGTCTAGGTGTGGCAGTGTGGAGGGAGCATGGAGGTCCTGCCATGTGCCAGAGTGGCCCACATCGAGCGCACCAAGAAGCCCTACAACAACGACATTGACTATTACGCCAAACGCAATGCACTGAGAGCCGCTGAAGTGTGGATGGATGAATACAAATCCCACGTCTACATGGCCTGGAACATTCCCATGAACGTAAGACTTTCTTCACCTTCAATCACTTGCAGCCTCTCAATAACTGAGAACACCTTTGCCCCTCCTCACATATTTTCTTTTCACTGTTGACTTGCAGCCTTGGCAAAACTCAAGTCAATAAAAATTCAAAATTCTGATTTTATCCCGCTTGACCTTCACACTTCSAACAAGACATAGAATCAGCCCAAACAGACGAGCACGGTGGGCAAGTGAAGGAGACAAGCATCTTATGTAATGATGATTTTCATACACGTCAGTTTAGTTTAATTGCTTTCAAGGGTCTTTTGAGATGAGCTGCACAACAGTAAACAGATGCTTTCATTAATAAGAGGTTTAATATTGAATTGTAATCGCCTCAGAGGGCATGCAGTGTGAGATGGTTTTAAATGAAAGACAGAGGAGTAGAAGAGTTAAAAAGCTGCTGAAAGCTGCATGGTATTCAGAACAATAAGTATTTGCTGAAGATACCTAAAGTGCGCGCCTTCCTTTAAAGCAGCCACACAATKGTCTCAAAAATGAGGGTTAGTGCACGTTAGAATGACTGAGAGCAGGAGGATATGTGTGCAACATTGAGAAGGGCTGTAGAAGTGGCAGGTGACAAACTAACCAATCAGGCCACATCCCTCCACGAGTATTATTACCARCACAGTGGCACGGCATGTTATTACCCCTGCTGTCCTGTGGAGTAGAGTTATTTTGTGTACAGTGAGGAGCTAATGCTACGATTATTCCATGGAACCCCCTCCAAACTGACCCATACACACTCACTGATCCTTGTTATTGTCTGAGGTACCTGCTGAGAGTCCAATTACTTTGAATTGGAAAGGTTTTACGATTCCCCACAGTGGGCTGCCCCGGGTCCAAATGCCACACAGCCTCTCAGTGACACCAAATGTGCTTGTTAGTGTTGCTTTCTGAAAACAGGTGGCCGTTTCTAACTAGAATCCGTTTATTAACACATGTTGAAACAGTATTTCACAGTTGATGATATAAAGGATTTTGCTTAGACACATGAAAATATGAAGTATGTGTTTGTGTGTAAGTAAGGGAGAGGGGGTACAGTGGTGGGTGGGAGGGGTTTTTATTCTATAGGARGCTTAATGCTCTTCAAATGGCATGTTTCGTGTGTTATGTAATCATAGAGAATGTTTTTTGTATACTAATACACATAAAAGCAGTTTCATGCCTGCACAGATTTAGAGCTCTGTGTGTGTGTGTGTGTGTGTGTGTGTGTGTGTGTGTGTGTGTGTGTGTGTGTGTGTGTGTGT